TCCGGTTGTTATTTGCTTTGAATATATTTCATATTGTCCATATGTCTGTGGACGGCACCTCTTTGAAAACAAAAAGTTTTATAAATTTTCAAAGAAGCGGAATTTGTTAGACTGTACTTCTAGAGTGAAGGAAGTTCTGTCGAAGTAACCAATTTTTTTATATTTGTATCCAACTTTCGGCAAAAATCAGAATAATTCCAGAACGTAAATAACGAAAATGACTAAAAATTATTTCAACAAAACTTACCTAACAGATAATCAACGGAGAAAATATATTATCAGTACATGCTTAACTTTAATTGTTTATGTTTATACATCGACAAAATGTGACGAACGTAACAAGTTGCCTGATTTGAATGATTTTGTCTCCTCAAAAGAAAAGTATGCGACTAAAATTATTAAGCTACCATGGAACACATTCTGGATGTTATTTTAGATCAGTAGCTGTTATCATGGCAATTTTTATTTTAATATTATTTTAATATAGGGGGGTATAACATTACTATATTCCCAAATTCTCGAGAAAATAGGGAGAATCTTTCTTGATTTCATCAATAAAAAATTTGTAACTCATGAGTCAATCGAATCAGCGACCTTCGGGTTGGTTTACACCACAGAATTTACCACACGCCAATGCTGTTATACTGGTATAAAAGATGATGAAGGAATTTGGATTCTTTTTCCAAAATCTATATACATAGAGTAAAAAATCAAGGTGGATTCATAAACCACAAATATAGGACTATAATATTTTATATAATTTAAATACGTTTACTAAAACTGGTGGGGATGGTTAGCCAAATTTTAATAGCGTATAGAATACACAAACAACACTCGATGTCTGTTTTTTAATACTCTAGGGGTCATGAAACGTCGAGAAAATTTGAAAGCAGCCGTTCGTCGGATGGACCCTACTATAACACTTCCTTAGCTTAAACTCGATAAGTAAAAATCGAAAAAGCTAAAGAAATTATGGCGATAGAGAAAATGTAATGAGATAAAGGAGTTTCTTGTTGCCGCGATAAGTCTACGTATTTTAAGAAATAAAAAATTTTGGGTTTTTTTTTAATATACATAGTATTCTTTGAACAGCACGATACTCAAAAGCATGTTTTTAATTTCTTGTAACGAAATAAATATTTTGTAGTTAAGCTCCGCCCTCTAGGTTCACAGCGAATAAAAAAATCATCACAATTAAGACAGAGCGGGTGGGCGGGCTTACATTTTGTCCTTTTGTTTTAATATGTGTAGATTTATTTTCACAATATGAAACTTAAAATTTGTGTAAGGAACTATCGATTTTGCAATTAAGTCGGCCATATAATTGCGAAATCCATATTTACTTGCAAAAATGTACCATTCTAAGTATTCTCGTGGTGAAAAAATGGCTATGCATATTAATAAAATAAGGCAAAATATAAGCCCCGCCTACCCACCCTACCCCAAATGTGATGAATTTTTCATTCGTTGTCATTTGGAGGGGCGGGGCTTAATTGCAAGTTCCATATTTGTCTAGCAGAATTTATCATTTTAAACGTATATTATGTATATTAAGAAAAAATTAAAGCGAAAAATTAAGCCCTACCCATGCCTGCCGTGATCTAAATAGTACTGAAGTTTTCATTCGTTGGTAGACGTAATAGCAAAATCCATATCTTCCTACAAAAATTTACCATTTTAAACGTGTTTTAAGTGTCTTAGAATAAAAAAATCATCACAATTGAGATGGGGTCGGTGGGTGGGGTCTATATTTTGGCTTTTTTCTTAATACACATTGTATTCTTTGAACAGCACGATACTCAAAAGCATGTTTTTAATTTCTTGTAACGAAATAAATATTTTGTAGTTAAGCTCCGCCCTCTAGGTTCACAGCGAATAAAAAAATCATCACAATTAAGACAGAGCGGGTGGCCGGGCTTACATTTTGTCCTTTTGTTTTAATATGTGTAGATTTATTTTCACAATATGAAACTTAAAATTTGTGTAAGGAACTATCGATTTTGCAATTAAGTCGGCCATATAATTGCGAAATCCATATTTACTTGCAAAAATGTACCATTCTAAGTATTCTCGTGGTGAAAAAATGGCTATGCATATTAATAAAATAAGGCAAAATATAAGCCCCGCCTACCCACCCTACCCCAAATGTGATGAATTTTTCATTCGTTGTCATTTGGAGGGGCGGGGCTTAATTGCAAGTTCCATATTTGTCTAGCAGAATTTATCATTTTAAACGTATATTATGTATATTAAGAAAAAATTAAAGCGAAAAATTAATCCCTACCCATGCCTGCCGTGATCTAAATAGTACTGAAGTTTTCATTCGTTGGTAGACCTAATAGCAAAATCCATATCTTCCTACAAAAATTTACCATTTTAAACGTGTTTTAAGTGTCTTAGAATAAAAAATCATCACAATTGAAATGGGGTGGGTGGGTGGTATCTATATTTTGGTTTTTTCTTAATACACATAGTATTCTTTGAACAACATGATACTCAAAAACATGTTTTTAATTTCTTGTAACGAAATAAATATTTTGTAGTTAAGCTCCGCCCTCTAGGTTCACAGCGAATAAAAAAATCATCACAATTAAGACAGAGCGGGTGGCCGGGCTTACATTTTGTCCTTTTGTTTTAATATGTGTAGATTTATTTTCACAATATGAAACTTAAAATTTGTGTAAGGAACTATCGATTTTGCAATTAAGTCGGCCATATAATTGCGAAATCCATATTTACTTGCAAAAATGTACCATTCTAAGTATTCTCGTGGTGAAAAAATGGCTATGCATATTAATAAAATAAGGCAAAATATAAGCCCCACCTACCCACCCTACCCCAAATGTGATGAATTTTTCATTCGTTGTCATTTGGAGGGGCGGGGCTTAATTGCAAGTTCCATATTTGTCTAGCAGAATTTATCATTTTAAACGTATATTATGTATATTAAGAAAAAATTAAAGCGAAAAATTAATCCCTACCCATGCCTGCCGTGATCTAAATAGTACTGAAGTTTTCATTCGTTGGTAGACCTAATAGCAAAATCCATATCTTCCTACAAAAATTTACCATTTTAAACGTGTTTTAAGTGTCTTAGAATAAAAAATCATCACAATTGAAATGGGGTGGGTGGGTGGTATCTATATTTTGGTTTTTTCTTAATACACATAGTATTCTTTGAACAACATGATACTCAAAAACATGTTTTTAATTCCTTGGAAAGAAAGAAGTTGGTTCACGGCGAATAAAAAAATCATCAAAAAAGCGAGAGGGCGGGTGGGCGGGCTTACATGTTGCCTTTTTGTTTGAATATATATAGACTTCTTTTCAAAAGTTAAAAATTGTAAATTTGTATAAGGAAATATCTATTTTGCATTGATTGTCTTTATACCAAACTGAGTCACACAACGTTTCAGAACACTGGAGTAAATGTGCATAATCCAGAAAACTATTGACAAACCGTTTTCCGAATTCATCCCACGTATTCTAATAACGTAGCCAAGCACCCATGCATGGTTAGGGAAATTGACAAAAGATTACCCTTAGTTTGAAATATATAGCAGGTACAAAATTTGAGAAGGTCACTTTACTTAGTTACTTGTTATGTTTCGGTATTATCACACGTTGATATTGGTGCATACAAATTTGTAATTTCAAAAAATGGCAATAGTTAGATAAAAATTAATCGCATTCGACACCACAGTCCCACCCAACGAGCGTAGCTCGTGCAACACCAGTTAATTATAGAATTTCCAATCTGAAATGTAAAACTTTGATCATTCTATCAACACTTGTAATTTTTGTATTATTGTTTGTAAATTCATTGTTCATGTTTTATTCATGGCTTTATCCATCCCTACCATGGTCCAAGATAGAAGGTACGACCACTATTTAAAGGATGCTCTTCGTCAACGGAGACCAAAGTTGCGCTTGCTGGGTAGACACCACTCCAACCCCATCCGCGAATTAGGATACGACGAGCGGATCACACAGAGAGCTCCAAGCTCCTCTTCACCCGTGGCGAAAGGATTGCACTTAGGGTCACTGCCACGATTACGCCGAGTAACGCAACGCTTCTATGACGAACGGATCACATGGCGTTCATCATATAAGTATAGGGATTTATTTGACTTGCATATTTTAATAAAATAATAATTATGGAGATCACAACTTGAATCTGAACATTATCGCAGAATTGTTATTTTGATTTTGATTATATGTGGGAATTTTTGAGTCTATGGGGTACTTTTGATAAACTTATTTTGGTTTAACCATCAACTTGAATTAATACATTGTTCATCGCAATTGTCGATAGAGTGTGGCATAATTTAATTTTGCTTCTTTCTGTTCTTGTAATTATAATATCCATTTTGCTATCGTCAAAATTCGTGAGATTTTTAACTCTAACCGGAATAAACACTCGGGTCGCGTGGCGGAGACGGAGTGACCGGATCCCACACCCAAAGCGAGAGTTTAATTGTTGTGAATCAGACCGTTTAGTTGGTTACGTCCTTTGCTGTGATTAGGACGAACAGACCTTCTTGAGGAGACGCCCTTCGCCCCGCTTTTCTACTGCTTAGTTTGCTTATATGATCTTGGATTAGTCCAAGCCTAACTTTCTTTAGTTTGTTTACGCTAACATAACCCCGAAGTCAGACTCTACATTCATTTTTATTTTTTGAGAAAATTATAACGTAAAATATTAAATTTGTTCTATATTAGGTAACACATATCGTAATAACCCTTAATTAAATCAGATCAAATCTACACCAGGATAATTACGTTACCCTCAGGACCCTATAAATCCGTCTAACCTGCTAAAGTGTTTACACCCCATGTGCCACATGTACACTTAAAGCACCTCACCGACAACAAACACGAAAACTTTCTCTCAAAACCAACTTTTCCCTTTCCCCGAAATTTACTCTTTGGCCAAGTTTTTAGCCGCCGTCGTTTAATTATTCCCTTAGACATCGAGCAAACAACTTCCTGGCACTTACCGGCACTCCTCCAACACCAACAACGTAAAGAAGTTGCGTCATGAAAAGCGCCGCCAGCAGATTCATCAGCGTCGTCCCCGACAGATTGCGTAGGTCCGAAAATAAACTGGAACAAACAAGCTGTTAGTGAAGTTGGAAACAGAATGGATTAGAAGGAAATCTTTCACTTTGAAAGATTGAGCCGAAGCTCGATTGCGAGCCTTTCTATTAATGCACCCACAACTGCTATACTTTCTAAACTCGCTCAATTAAGCCCGACACGACTCAGAGCCGATAAGGGTAATGGCTTTCAGCGCCACAATAATCCCTCTTCAAGCTGCTCCTCGCGATGATTTTTTCGGAGTTCATGGTATTTAGATTGGAGAGAACGTGCCCGGAATCCCGACGCGGAACGGTATAAAAATCGCCTTATTAATGTGCGCTACTGGGTTAAATTTATTCAAATAGGGGCTGCTGAAGAATTTTAAATTAAGTGAATTTTGGACGGCGCCTGTCGGTTAAAAAGGAAAAGTGACTTGGACCAAGTTCAAAGTGCCAAAGGGGTGACGAGAGTAATTTTGTTGCGAGGAGTACGCCCATGGACGGGGCAGAAAGATGGAAAAAGGGTAATTAAAAACTGAGGTACACGTAGCAGAAGCCTGAGTGTCCTTATTTCATTAAATAAATATGCATTCAGTTTTTTCTTAACAGGATAATCCATCAATGGTAGCCGAATTAATAATAATAATTGTAATTATGCAACCCAAAATACACTATTTAGTGTGGAGTTCGTCGTATCACCTCAATGTTTAATAAACATTTTTGAACATATGAAAAGAGTACGTCAACAATTGTTTGCACCATGATAAATGACGTTTAGAATCATAAATGACAGTATGGTGTAAGTAAAGACGAACCATTTATTTATAAAGGGTTCTTTGACTCACTATTTTTTTTAGATTTAAGCTATTATTATATCACAGAAAATTCTTAATTGTGTACAGTGCACAGACATTTCCATTCCATTCCATATTAAAACATTCAAATAAATAATATCATAATATCGTTGAAAAGACAAAAAAGGGCAAAAGAACAAATCCAGCTTTTTTGAAAAATTATAAAACTTAATTATGCGAATTTAATTTTTTTTAGAACTCTTATAAGTAAAAGTAACGATGTGTTTTGTGATGACGTCATCAACATTTTTTCAAAGACACTTTGGATAGGTGCAGTGTAATACTAATGATAACAGTATTGTATTCACAAATTTTCGGGAAAATTGAATGAGCCGTTCCCGATTTAATCAATAAAATAAATTGACTCATTCATTAATTTTTATGAATCACCCTGTATAAGAAATTTAAAAACTTTTAACTTAATGATAAATCACAAGTTGAGACTCATCAGATTTTGCACATTTTGGATATGATTTGTTCGGCAAAATTTTGAGATGACGTTCGGGTTTTTGGGAGGGGGTAAACGAATAAATTTTGCTGAACGATTTACAATGATTATAATAACCTTAAAATATTTACAAAATTTCCGGGGAATCTGTTTTGCAGTTTCAAAGTTCAATTGAAAAATATTGTTATTCAGTTATAAATTTTTTTCAAAAATTCTGGATGTCTAGGATGAAAACTCGACACGGATTCATACACCACGAGGACAGGAGCATCTTATTTTGGGGATGATTAATAAAATTTTGGTTAATAAATGTTTAAGGCCAGTCGATACGTTTTCTGAGAGGCATTTCGGTCTATTTTCAGAATGTAATATCTCCGTTATTAACAGACTTATGGTTTTGAAATTTTAAATATATATTGTCTATAACTGTCTTTATATAACGCAAGGGCAATTTTGTCTAAAACAGTTTGTGATCATATTTTTCTTTTCATTTTAGTGAAATTTTTGCATAACGTATTTTTAAAAATCAATATCTCAATTATTAAAGGAAATTTTAGAACACAGTTTTCAGCTTATATTTACAATTCCAGAAATCATACCAGGTATAACGTCGATTTTTCTTGTTAGAAACTATGCACAGTAAAAAAAGCTTGCGTCATAGAAGTTGCTATCTTTCGTTTTTACTATATCCCAACAAATAAATTCAAAAATAGATCTAGTATGATTTCCAAAATTTTACAAGTTGAAAACAGTGGTGACAACCCCGTTCCAAAATTTCCGTAAATAACTGAAATACTGTTTTTTTAAAATACTTGATGCAAAAATTTCAACAAACTGTCGTTTAAACGTATGGTTTCGCAGTTTCAATATCAAATTGTAAAATTAAGACCACAAATGTAGAACTGTTATTTTATAAAATTAAAAAAAAATTACTATGCAAAAAAAATATTTCAAAAATAAAACATAAAGAGCTCCTCAAATTCCTTCAAAAACATAACACAATGAACCCCAGAGACTCTTTCATATCCCCCTTCACAAACGCGCTTATAATTATTTCAGATTTTTTTAAAAACGGGGGTAAGAATGCCTATTCAAACTTTTTAAAAATTAAACGGTAGGGAAAATTCTTTCACATTCTTCAAAAAAGAAAGACACTAGAGACTCTCTTTAAAAAAAAAGGGCCTAAACTTATTTAGAGAAAACTTCCCTCGCACATTAGGTTAATACAATCGAACACATGCAGTTTTTTCGGAAAATTATACCATTTGATTTTGCAAAATTTTATTTATTTTATCTTTTTTCTTGTCCGAAATCGTAACTTACTATCTTTTTTTAGAGGGTATCTCATTGGCCAAAATGAGTTTGATCTTAGCAGGTACTAGCCCCGCCCACCCGCCCTCTCTTCTCTTCTCTTACAAGGTATATCATTTGCCAAAATCACTCTAATCTTAGCAGGTACTAGCCCCGCCCACCCACCCTCTCTCCTCTTACACGGTATATTATCTGCCAAAATCACTCTTATCTTAGCAGGTACTAGCCCCGCCCACCCACCCTCTCTGCTCTTACAGGATATGTCATCTGCACCCTCTCTATTCTACTTCTCCTACTAAGTGAAGAGAGGGCGGGTGGGCGGGGCTAGAACCTGCTACGATAAGAGTGATTTTAGCCAATGCGGTGTCCTCCAAGGAAAAAGACGGCAAGTACTAATACTTCCTAAGCACGTCATGTTAAAATCTGGATGCTTCTAATTTTGTAAAAAAAACTTTTTAAATTGCCTTGTTTTAAATAACTTAGGAAAAACTGAGTAATGGCATGTCCAAGTCCATTTAATTTTAGGATTTAAACGACCCCAGAACTAGAAAAAAATCATAACAATTATGTATCTCCCATTCGAGTAAAAAAGGGAAAATTTAATAATCGCAGCACCACATTTTACAGTCTGTGTTTTGAAAAACATAACCTCAGAAAACATCCAGTTCCATTTAAAATATGTATTTATTATATTACTAGTTGCTCGAATAAATTCTGGAAATTTGTAAATGAATTAGTTATGATTTAGTTTTGTCAATTAAATTAAATTCCAAAACTACAATTACTGTGCAACGAAACCACTGATTTTTTCCGATTTATAATGATTAATCCAAGTGTCAGTTGCCCCCGACCCAATCCTGTTCCTCTCCGCCCATGCTTTCCCCGCTCGACCCCATGCGTAAGCGCGCCAAATTCAAACACTACCAACCTCTACACATTTATTAAAAAAATCGTACTATTAAACGAGCAAAGTTTGTATATATATAATGGGTTTCTCGAAAACGGCTCTAGCGATTTCGATGAAATTTACAGGTTGGGGGTTTTTTGGGTCAAGAAATCGATTGATCGTAGTTTTAACTTCTGAAAATTACAGCTTCATACATTTTCAGCAATTTTCAGGCAGTGAATTATATTTGTTGCTAGCCAACATCAGATGACACTACACGAACACGAGATTGTTTTATAAGAGAAGTTTGGGTGACAGTCTGACAGTACGTTTGACCATGGCCGACTAGTATCAAGATTATGGCCTGTCCAAGAGTACCATACGTGCTGCCATCTATTAATAATTCAAAAACGACAAAAGACCTATTAACACTTTTTGAAAGGCACAAAGGCATTCATACCGAAACAAACCACCATTACACGTTTTGAAGTCTCATAATGTCAAGTCAAATTAAAATTTTGCTAAATTATTAAGTGTAATTATTATTAATAGATGGCAACACTTATGATACCTCTTGGACAGGCCATAATCTTTATACTAGTCGGCCATGGTTTGACGTACCTTTTTATCTTCAATTGTACGTACCGAAACATACTCCACTGTATAGAGGACGTTAAAATTCACCTCCTGAGATGAAAAAATTTACGAAAATCTAAACAGTGAGCGGATAAAAGGCACACGAAAGTGCGTTGAATTAAGGTTATGTTGTCAAGCATTAATTTCAGAGGTTCCACAGTCGGAGTCAATATGTGATCGTTTTCCGGGACGTGACCATGTTATTTGAGTTTTTGGGCTCAACGTTTCGCACACTTTCGTAAGTGGCATCTTCGGGAGCAGGGTTGAGATTGAGAAATTAGGAATAACGCAAAAGAGCACGGTAACTCAGTATGTTAACCACACCAGAGGCGAAACTCTTCTGGCAGTAAGAATGTGGTTGTGACCTTTTTCTAGAGTCGAGAGAGAGAACTAAGAAAAGAAAGAACGACGGAGAGAGAACTTGGGTAACAAATGAGATTTTAATAAATGTCAAACAATAATTCCAATTTTCTATTCTTTAATCTCTACATGTCACACATCAGTATTTAAAACAAAGACTGCTTATGGAATTTCTTTTTTAATGTGTATGTACCTTTTCAACAGCAAGATTATGTATCACATAGTAAGGATACCAGACAACAGAGGCTTATTCCATCTTGTTTACCACATACGCAAAATACAGGCTTTTTAACAGAAGAGGATCTTGAAGAGTTTTTGATACCCGAAATATAAATCCAAGCATTTTAGATGCTGAGGTGGATATGTTACTGATGTGCTCCACAAATGAAAGGCGCGAATCAAAAGGAACACCAAGATCCTTTACCTCATTCTTCTTTCAAAGAATCCGACCGTTGATGGTATAGTCTGATTTTACCACATTTACTTTCCTACTGAATGTCATTACATAACACTTATCTGCATTTAGTAACAACTCGGACTTGTTGCACCAATCTACTAATGTATCAAGGTTCCTTTGGAAGGTTTTAACATCACCACTGTTTGAAATTGGACAGTATAACTTCAAATCGTCAGCGTATGTCAAAACTTTACAGTTAAGTGAAAGAAGCAAATCATCAATGAAAAGAGCGAACAGAAGAGGGCCAAGATTGGAGCCTTGAGGAACACCGGATGTACTTACAAAATTGAAAGAATGGGAACTGTTATACGTCAC